TGCTTGACTAGAGCAGCCTGTGGTCACCCACTGCCCCACACAGCCTCCTGCCCCCGTAACCCAAGGGCCTTCTCAACATCAGCCACAGAGAGGGAACTCAAAGACTGCATTTATTTGGAAGTTGGGGTTTTTTTTAATAACAAAAAAGTCACAGTGACTTGCATGAGGGGATCCATTTGAAGCTCCAAAGGAGAAGGCCAAGGCGGGGGCCAGGCGTTGCCCCTGGTTGTGGGTGCTCCCTTTGGATGGGAGCCGGAGGCTCCGGGGCTGCAGATGACACCTCGTGGACCTCACCCACTGTGCTAACCACTGGGCTGTTCTGGCCTGGATTTTCTGGAAGCTGGGAGGGGCAGAGGAGGGACAGAACTGTAGGAGGTGTCAGAGGTCATAGTGAGGGTCGCCCTGGGAGGAGGTCCTGTGCGACACTCTGGAAAATGACTGTCATCAAAGGTCAGGATGCTGTGCTGAGTCAGTCACCCAGAGGAAGTTGATCTGCATTCAGCTCACTTGGAAGAAGATGGGGATGTGGGAGATGCACTGAAAGATTTTCTTAAACAAAGGCAACATTTAAAATAGGGTGAGGTAGAGAGACCTGGGACAAGTTTGGCCCTCGGGGTGGCGGGGATGGAGGAAAGCAGAACACAGGCTTCAGAGTCAGAACTGGTGCGTGTCCAGGCTCTGTCACTTCTAGCTGTCACTGGGCCTCAGTTTCCCTTTCTATAAAATATTCTATCACCTCACATGGTGGTCATGAGGGTTAAATTAGAGTACATAGAGACAGCATCGTGCCTGGCTCACAGGAAGTGTCCAACAATGTTAGCTGGCATTTGCTCGGGCCAAACACTCCACTGAACGCGTCATGTGGATTGGCTAATACAGGGTTTTCAAAGCAGGGTCCCAGCCCATCCCCTGAAATTTGTTAGAAAAGCTAATTTTCAGGCCTGACCCAGACCTGCTAAATCATAAAAGCCTGTGTTTAAACCAGCCTCCCAAGGGACTTCCAGGAACGTGGCAGAGTGGTAACAACAACAACTCAGCCTCTCTGAGATTTAGAATCCAGACATTGGAAAAAACAAGTGGGTAGGGGTGGGAGTGCGGGAGTGGATCCCCAGGGACCAGGAAGGATCTGACAGGAAAATTTCAACCTACGGGAAACTGAAGAGACAAGAAGAAAACAGAAAAAGGGAGAGACAATCTATACTTTCTCCCTGGCTCCCAGACCCTAGGTCTTGAGAAAGAAACAAGGAATCTATAGGTAGAAAATGAAAGCGGGAGAGTTTTTAATTAACCTGACTTCAGTTTCAAGGCATGGAGACTAATACCTATACTAATTTAATTCATTCAATAAACATTAAGTTTTAACTTTGTACCACCAAGTCCTTCCCTGGTCCTTAGGGACTATAAAAGTGGAAGGGCAAATGAGATGTCACTGTAGTTTGTGATTAGATAAATTAACAACACAAGCCAGGCTCTGGATAGAACCTGCTTTCATGGAAAGAATCATCTATGGTCCAGTGTTCATTTACACACAAGGGGCTGGGACACTGTTCTGTTAGTAACTTCACAACTGACTATGACAGGCAGCTAATTTTCTAAATAACCAGTGATCACCGGAAAGCCGTAATATTCAAGGGATGAGAATAAAATGCACCCTAGCTGGTGGTCTCAGTTCAGCAGAACAAGAGAATCGCCTGGGGAGCTGTAAAGAGTCTCAATGCCTGGGCTCTAACCCACACCAACCGCATGTTTCTCTGGAGTTTGGTCTGCACCAGGAGATTATTTTTCTAAGCTGACTGACTGAAATACACAGCCCAAGTTGCAAACACCAGTCTAGATGGTTACAGATTTGACTTCAAGTCCTTTTTCTTCAGTCCTCACATTTCTCCTTTGCCTTTGTTTTCCAGCTGAGCTCCCACCCTGATAGGTTGCCAAGTCCTCCCAGAGCCGTCTCCACGTCCTCAGTTTCCCCCTTTCCCAAGTTTGGGCCCCGGTGTTGGGGGCTGAGAGGCAGGTGGTGTTAGCTATGGTTGAGGAGGAGGTAGGTGAGTCTTGTGCAGTTCACACACTGGGAGCAGTGCAACCTGCCCAACTCCTCCCTCAGGATGTCGTGGGAGGGAGTTCAGGGACGTCCATCCAATGAACGATTTTGTCAGCACTTCTCCAAGTGACGCATAGGTGGCTCTCGGCTCCTTTCATTTCCTCTTCCCATTCTCTATGGCTGTGAAACCTGGCATCAGAAAAGCTTACAGAGGCTGGTTCTTTTCACACTGGACAGCACCCAGTGAAAAAGCTGTCGGAACATGATTGTCACCCCAGAAGAATGCAAATATACCTTAATTTTGTGTAGCTTACAAGGTTACCAGAGTGCCCGCTTCCAGACCTTGAGGGACCCTCCCTAATCAGATGCAGGAAGGAAAGAGGAAGGACCTGGGCGACTTTGTCAGAGAGCTAGCAGCTATAATAATAAGCTATTTGGCAAGCTCAGCAGCTATGGAGAGTGAGAGTCCTGGGGAATGAAAGTACCCTCAGCTTGCACAGAGCACCTGTCCTTTATTTGGAGCACTTGAAAATTATGGAGACTGTCAAAGACCTCCTAGCTCCGTCTGTTTGATTTCTCTTGTTTTTTGTATTTAACACAGTTGTCTGCATTTCGGGAAAAACGCAAGTGTCTGAAAAACAAGATGGGAGCACTTTGCCTCTGTGCAAAAACTTCCCAGATTAAGGGACAGCACGTGCTGATGGTGGAGGACACTTAGGAGCCACCACTTTGGGAGGAAGAATTCTGCAGCTGCTTGCAGATGAGGCTTTCTCCAGTGGGATCTAACTGAACTGGGTCCTGAGGTACAGTGAATTTGGGGCTGGGTTTTATCCGTGTGTCAAGCTTGATGTTCCGGGGCAGTGCTGCTTATAATGCTGTGCACAACAATCAGTGGGGATCTTGTTAACATGCAGGTTCTAATTCAGTTGTCGGGACTGCCATTATGAGTCTGCATGACTGATCAGCTCCAACTGATGACAATGCTGACATCTGTGATACCTGGGAACTTTTATTCATGGCCTCTTCGAAAGTGTGCAGAGGTGGACTTTCAAATAGTACGTTTGTGGATTTAGCAACCTGGCCATACTTCAGAAAAGGAAATCTTTAATCTCCAGAAGTGATGGAATTAGTGGCCCCAAGGTGACACTTTGACTATAGCCCAGTGATACCAAGTTGGGACTTCTAGCCTTTAGGACTGAGAGAATAAATTTCTGTGTTAGGCCACTAAGTTTATAATTTGTTATAACAGCCACAGGAAACAAATTGGCAACTAGACTGAGGCAGAAGGGTGGCAAATTTGTGCCCAGCCTGGGAAATTTAGCAATTTAGTGAAATCCTGTCTGGGGGAAAAACATAAAGGAGGGCTGGAGATGCAGCTCAGTGTGAAGGCCCTAGGCTCAATCCCCAATACTAAGGGGTAAGAAAAGTGATCAATGAAGGACAAAAGCTAAGAGATGGCAGAATCCCAGAAGTCAGTGGAAGAAGTTTGCAAGTGAGTGATTAACTGTATCAATGCTGCAGGGGTCAAAAAGTGGCCGTGAGTCACTGACCTTAGCAAGGCGGAAGCCATCGGTGGACTTGAAGATGGAGATGCTTGTGGAGTGGCAAATGAAATCACCTGGAGCAATTTAAAAAGCAAGAAATGGAAGGACAATATTATTCTTTTAGTTTCCCACAAAAGACAGCAGAGAACTAAGTGCTATCCAGCCGAGGAAGTGGGTCAAAGGAAGGATTTACTTTTAAGATGAGGAAGATCCAGTAGAGGGAGAAATGGATGATGTCTGTAACAACCAAGAAGGTAGGGCGTGTGGGGCAGCTGGTGGGTGGGTAGGGGCAGTGAAATGGATCTGTGGAAATTCTACTTCTCGGTGAAGAGAAGGCATTAGCTGAGAGTGAGGGAGATTTGGCCCATACAGAGAAGACAAGGGGAAGATGGAGAAGATAGGGTTGAAGATGCTGACCTTGTGGATGGGGTGATGTGAGCACAATGCTGGGAAAGGCAAGGAAAAGATTCTCCCACTGGAGCACCCACAGAGGGTTGCGGCCCTATTGACATTTTGACTGTAGCCTAGCCATGCTAAATTGGGACTTCTGGTCTCTAGATCCTTGAGAGAATAGATTTCTGTGTAAGGCACTAAGTTTGTAATTTGTTACAATAGCCACCGTAAACAAATTGGTGACCAGAGGAGGAAGAACAGACTATCAAAAGACTCTCTGTCCTGTTCACTACCATGCACCTAGCACCCAGCCCAGCCTGCCATACAGTCAAGCCCAACATGTATCTGTGGAATGAATAACCCAGCAGGAAGCTGGGCCTGAGCTGCCCACCACACGGATCCTCTCAAACCTGTAGTCTAGCCTTCTCCACTCCCAGCCAGGAGGTGTGAGAAGCATCTCCAGCTCCCAAGTTTGCGTTTCAGCCATAGTTATCCAAAGGAGCACCAAGAGAGTGTTCTGACTTCTATTCCCCGAGTATCTACTTCAGTCAAGTATCCACGAGGTCAATAAACAAAGAAATGAAGCCACAATGTATGGAAGATTAACACTGTGGGTGGGGACAGCAGAAAGTTTCCATGACAAGGAATAGCAGGAAGACAACCCAATGGGATCCTCTCCAAAGAGTACAACTTCTGGGCTCCTTGCCATGTGCTCCTACATTTAGCATTAGTCCTCAAACCATCTAGGACACGGGTACTATTGTCCCATTCAGAGAGGGCAGCTGAAGACTAGAGCAGGTCATTTGTTCAAAAGTCAGTGGCAGAGCCAGAATCCAAGTCTGCTCAGCATCAAGAGGCTGTGCTTCTGAATGCTGCATAACCTGCCTTCATCTTCTGGCTCCATGCAGGAAGGAGAGTCCTCATGGGTATCTGGAAGAAAGGGGTGTTCTGGGAAAAATACTGACAACTACAACAGTCTCAGCAAAAGTTTAAGAATATTTGAATAAGCATTCATAAGACAGGTGTTTCTCTTTATTTCTTTATTAATGAGTCATGATACACAAAGACTTAATAAAAAGTTACATAAAAGGCTCAAGCATCATCGAGATGTTCAGGCATCACTCTCGTTTCACGACAATGGCCACCTGGTAACACTGTGTAACAAGCTGAGCGCTCAAAGGCGCTCAATAATTCAAGTATCTTTCATTCTAAGTAAACCCCACATGGAATTTCCAACCCAATGAGCTGCTAGTGGAGAGGACATATCTGTGGCTCTGCACTTATTATAACACAACTTAGGGGGCTTTGGGTTAAGGGTTCCCACGTGTTAGTGGGCCACATCTCTTGGCAAAGTGAGACAGGCCACACCTGGCCATGTACTCTCCAGAGCAGGTACCATGAGGTGGTGGCAAAGTCCCAAGAGAAATATCCAGATGTCCTCTGTGCGACACAGGGCATGGGTACTGAGCATAGCCCCACACAGTCTGTGGGGTTAAGGATGGCTAGGATTACCTCTGCAGAGAAAAGGAGCCCTTTAAGGAAGGTGTCAGGACAATGGGAGTACATCTGAGACACACAATGGCAAAAGCATGGGGTGAGATTTCAGGACGCGTGTTCAGGGGATGTGAAGGTTGCTATTCTCTGTAAAACCAGTGGTAACAAGTGGATGACAGCACAGGCGCAAGTCGCAGTGGACTCTCCTGTCATGGAGCAGCACGGCCAACCAGGTTTCCCAGACTGGCCCTGCCAGGTGACGGACATCCCTGGGTACACTACTCCAGCCTGTCTGGAAACCCCTCTGTCACAAGGGTCCATTTCTAAAAATGGGGTGTTATCTACACATTTTACCTAGGAGGAAAATGAAGTCATAAGAGAGGAAAGTTTAACAGCCCCATTGAGAGGCTGCAGAAGACCAGCCCTTACAGTCTCTCCCTCAGGCACCCTGGAGTTAAGCTGCGGGCTGAGTTTAGGAAAAGATGCCCTGGAAGATGAGGCCAGCTTTTCTGACAGGGGGTGAGGGAGACGAGGAGTGGCACAACCCTTTTCTGGTTACCTTTATGGCTCAGGGCTTCATTCTAGGTCAACTGATCTGCTTCCAACAAGACTTCCCCATGCAGTGGTACTGGAGTGAGCGGGAGGCGGCTGTGTCCACTCCGGGCAGGGGTGTGCTGGTGGTGGGTGGCGCCTGGTGGGAGTTTCCCGGCAGTGGCTGCTGCCTTCTTTGCTGTGCATAGTATCCTGGTCCTCACACTTTCCTGCCTACGCCCCCTCGTTTCCAGTCTTCAGCGGCCATCAAACTGCACATGTGCCTGCTATGGTCCTGGCTCAGAGGACCCTAAGGCCTGGGAAAAGCCTTGTCCTTCTAGTGTTTAAAATACTTGTTAATATTTCTTATAGGTATTGGGAAACTTCTGAAGTGCCTTGTCTGAAATGTTCTGTCTTATCCTTCCTTTTAAGAACAGAAAAAAAAAAAAAGGCTATTTTGACAAGTAGAAAGTCTGACTCACAGAAGTCTGCACTGTTGCCTTTTGTAGCAGAATCACTCCTCAGCTGGGCCCTCCAGGCTGATGATCATCAGGGTTAGGAGCCCAGAATACTCTCTAAACGGGAGAAGAATCTAGGTGTCTGTGGATCCTGTCAGGGGCTCACTTTCCATGGGTGTCTTTCTTCTGTAAGTTTCTTTCTCCAAAGAGGATCCGGGCCATCTGCTGGGGATGTTCTAGTTTACAGAGGGACACCTGGAAAGTAAGGTCACTAGCATAGCCACCATGTCTACTAATTTTCTCTTTGGTGCACTCTTCCTGCTGCCCAAAGGCCCCTACCCTGGCTGGAAAAATCCAGTCTTCGTTTCCACCAGCAGCACCAGAGAGGGAGGCACATTGTCAGGCAGTTGGAGGAGACTGTCCCTTAGAGAAACAGGTGTATGGGAGCAACATCATTAGCACAACCTTGCTCTCCTCTGCTATTATTGTCAGGATCTTATCACTGTCAAAATCCAAGAGGTAATAAAAGTATGTGCCAAAAGGCAACCAAGTCTGCAATACTAGAAGGCTTTGCTCATTTACTGGGCTCATGGAGGTGGTGGTCAGTTGACTCAAAGGGAAATGGCTTTTAGTTCCGGTGGTATTTTGGTGATAACAGCATCAAATCCTTCTGGTTAAGATTCATCATGAGCTAGAGCTTTCCGGATAGTGTCCGTGTTGGCTTCCTCTGATGAGTCACGTGTTTAATAGGAGAAGCACCAGGCAGCACAGGTGAAGTGGTGAAGCAGGAAGGGGCAGAGCTGAGAAACCAGGAACTCTTACACATCTGGGGAGCTACAGAACTGAACAGACTGTCTGAGACATAAAGGAACATTTTGAAAAGCCCACCTGCTTACCTTAATTTGTACATTTAAGGGTAATGAAAGCTCCTTTCAGAACTGACATACTCATGTCAGCCACTCACCTCAGCAAACTAAAATTCTGTTTTCTAATATCTGCATCCTCAACCATAGCAATGCCCTCTTCTCTCCAGTTTTTGGGCCACCAGTAGGGTCTGTTTCTCTCCCACATCTGACCCACAGCCCAAAGTCTCCCAGCTACACTAGTTAGCCTCCCAACTTCTGTTCTCTCAGTCACTCTACTTCTGTATTGGGTTGTGAGTTTGGCACTGCTGGAAAACTCAGTTAAAAAGATAGCAACATTGATTCCAGACATGTTATCAAAGAGGTCTGCTGAAGATCTGAGGACTCCACCAGGCGGTGGGCACAGACCCCTTAATAAAATAATCATCACTAAAATAATTTAAAAATCTACAAAAGACATCTGAGCTCAGATCCTGTAGATAGGGGTCAAGGGGAGGAAGCTTGTTCGTGGCTTGTTTGGTACTCTGAATGTGGATAAACACCTCCACATCAAACCAACGCTATGTAGTTAAAAGACACAACATACCCACCGAGAGGGGGAACTGGGCTGAATCAGCACTCAAGGAGCCTGGATACTGCTTGTTTACCGGTGGCTTCCTTGTCTCTCTTAGGAGATGGAAAAGCCAGGGCCCTCCTACAAAGCCAGACTCTGTCTGCTTCCGGCCCACCTCCCTCTCTCCCTTCTTGTGCCAAGTCCTCCGGCCTAGGGTCGTGGTTAGAAATGGTTTTCAGTGCAGTTAGGTAGTGGAGAGTTCTGAGGGCTGGTCCTGGTCACTGAACTGGGGCCTCGGCTGTCACAATATCACACACTGCAGTTTGTGGGTGCCAGTGGCACGGTCTCCTCGCCATTTGGTTTTCTTCTTCTTCTTCTGGCTTTTTTCGGGAATCTGTTGCCTTTTAAACAGGGAAGAACAGAAAGAGAAAGTCAGAATGGGCTTTGCTCCTCCTCTGCCCTTCTCCCCCTTATCCTGGATGGGGGACTTGGAGACTCTGCTGTCTCCACTGGAGGAAGGCCTGGCTGGACAGCACCTCTAGAGGCAAAAAACTGAAGAGGAGGAGGAAAAAAATCCTAAATCACCCTACTGATGGGAATTTCTGAGTTAGGCTGCGGCTGTATTTATCTAAATCATAAACTTCATCAGAGCATTGGCCTCTGTTTCTGTGTTTCATATTTCAAATAAAATGACAGGTGAAGTGGGTACAAAAGTCTTTTACATTGATTGTTCTTGTTAACTTTTCCTATGTCCAAAACTTGACCTTGGAACTACAAGTCCATAACCGAGACATCAGCATAAGGGATTGTACCTAATCGAGGCAATCGCCCAGAAGCAAATCATTTGACCACATGGAATGCCAGCAAAAACGTATGTGGAGGCTGCAACACTCCCATTACACCGAGGAGTAATATGAAAATGAGATGTGGAACACGTGGGGTATTTATTTGCGAGGGCACTGAGGCCGCAAATAGGAACACTAATCAAGTCCTGGATCTGATTTACCACTAACCAAAGCTCTGTCAACAACAACAGGGCAGTGTATTCAAGCCATGGAATTTGAGAACCACAGGTTCTGCGGCTCATGTGTTAAAAATTTGGAGAACAGGATAAAAAGGTTGGCAGGGACTGCGGCCAGGAGGCCATTTCAGTCATCGGAGCACGAAGTGGTCAGGATCTGGACCCTGACTCTGCAAGACTCTTCGTCAGGACTGCTGAGGCTTGGTCCTGGAGTCAGCGTTGGTGCTTCAGGGAAACACCCTCAGGTGCTCCGACAGCAGCACAGGGAGGAGGGGGTCTACTCTTTAGTGGAAGTACTGAAAACTCTATTGGGAGAACCCTAGGGTGAGCAGGCTCCATGCAGGACTGCCCTGGGCAGAAATCATTTCCATTTAGCAGGTGGGGTATCACCATGTAGGTTCCCAGCAACCTCACTTACAAACCCATACATTAGGGGAGGTCAGAGGCAGGTGGAAAATGCAGAGGAAATAAATGGAAGGAAGTATAATAGTCCGTAAAAGAGGCCTGAAATGGCCCAAGCTCCCGGCTCAGGATGGGAGCTGCATCCCCCCAGCCCAGCCCTCCAGTCCTCCAGCTGCAGCCCAGCTGATCCACACTGCAGAGGCCTGTGCTGGGGAGGGGCGCCGTGCTCACCTAATTACTCTAACGAGGTCATGGAAGGCTTTGTCCACATTGAGAGGCGGGTCCTTGGCACTGGTTTCTATGTAAGGAATCTGGAAAGCAAAGCTCAGCTTGGTCAAAGTGGCACTGAGATTCACAAAGCACTCAGAGGCGCTGAGGAACCTACATGGCTTCACGGCCCCCCAGCCCTCCAGCAACCTCAAACCTCCTCTGGTAGCTTCTTTTAAGGTTGGAAAGTTTTACTAATGGCTTTTCAAATTCTCTCTTGTTCTTTAGTCACAGACATATTTAACAGCTCCCTAAAAATAGAATAAAATGATCTTTTTATATACTCGAAGACTAAAGATTGTTTCATTTCTCATACTAAGATACAGTTTGAGTTATTCATTTTTCCTTCTGAGCTCTATTTACCCCTCTGTCTGGCCCTTCCGGAGTGGACACCAGAGGGAGAGCCTGAGAGGCTGGGCTGTGAGCAGGACTCTGAACTGGGTGCCCCTGCCAGGTCTGTGCCAGCCCCACCCGCAACATGCCTGCCAGTACCAGCTCTTGCTTGGTCTGTACATGAGCTGGGAGCCCGGCCAGGTTTACACAAGGGTAACGCTGAGGAATCATCACATGACTGCTGGGTAGGCAGCAGCATGTGGGCACGGTGGCCGAGGTGACCCCACGGGCCATGTCCACCCTGAACCTTTGACTGCCAGACAGAGAACAAAGGCTCCAGGAGGTCAGGACACAGTCCTAAGTGCTCAACTTCTCCTGACAGGGACTCCACAAAGATCAGAGGTGCTCATCTTCAGGGAAACGTGATGGCACCCTTTGGGTAGGATAGAAATAAACTGACTGAGGTCAAACATAAATCATTTGCCAATTACAAAATTATAACACAACTGAACAAGAAAAGGGCGGTGGAGAAAATAAAAATGACCATTCATTGAAAGTATGGGAGGAGGGTAGCAGAGTAAATTGTTACTTTAGAGGAGTACACAGTACTGTACAGCATTGCCTAGAATGCATTCACTCATTAACTTCCCGTCAATGATTTCTGTGGGAGGTCAGATGTCTACACCTGTGGCCTCAAGCACAGGGCTTATATGCGGCTGACAGACACACAAAGGGCACAACTCAGGCCTTGGACATCTTCACTGGTTATGTATCTGAGGCTCCAGTAACCCTGAAAGGAAAGTACCGTTCGCTTTGGGCTGTGCCACTGTGGGCTATTAGGCTGCCACAGTCTCAACCTCCCCACCTGACCATGGCCTCATGTTCATCTCTGAGGCAAGTGAGCTCCCGCATTCTCCAGTAGGGAGCTGGAGCTCAGCAACACACTGGGCAGGGCCTACCATACCTAGCAGAGACTCAAGGATTGAATAGGTTCGTGTTCCATGCCCCACCTGGCCTCCTATGGACAGGTAGGGGTGTGAAGCTCAGCTTCGGGGCCTCTTCCAGGCCAGGTGTCATGTCCAGGTGTGGTAGGTGCCTGTGCGGATGAGGACAATGTGGTGCCCTATGCATACAAAAGGGAAGCGGGAAAGCACCTACAGTGTAGCCGAAACCTGCTCAGAGTCTGTCTGCATCCTGTACTCCTGCCAGCTCAGCAAGCCCTGGTTTCCAGGAGTCTCAGGGTAGTGCTGCCTGTGGTTCCACCCCATGGCTCAGAAGGACATGCGTCGTATTATCCCCCCAGGTACCCAGATACCCTCCATCTTCATTCTGGGGTTTCCACTTTTATCACTGAAGAAAAACTGATGTGCATTATCTTAAAAATTTAGGATTTCATTAGCAGCAAGACTTAACCTAAGGGAAACCCCAAACAAGCAATAGCACCATTAAACTCCACCAAAGGACTAGGAAATGCTATCTTCTGCATTAGGTGGGAGGAACCTATCTTGGATAGCCAAAGAGGAACTTGCCTCACGAGCTATAGCTGGAATGCCATTGATAGCAGCACGCCAGTCACTCGGTTCAAGCAACACATGAGGTGGCAGCATGTGCTGTGGGGGAAACAGCACCAGATTGAGAGACTAGAGATCCTGGCCCTGGGGGGTGGGAGCAGCACTCGACAGCCATGAGGTCCCTCGAAATCCTTAACCTCCTGTGTCTCCTTCCTTTTTATCTGCAAAATGGGGCTACTGCTACCTGAGCAGTTCCTCGACCAACCCAGAGCTGCAGAGAGGGAAAACCTTCCACACACCCAAGGGAAGCACTTAGCAAACCCTCCTCAGACCTGCGGGACCGGACAGGATAATGGAGCCCAAGACTAAAATGCAAATGGCACCTCAGGCCCATCTCTGTTCAGGACATCAGGTGTCCTGCTGTTCCTCCACAAGCCCATTTCTAATCCTAACTTCTGATGTCAGCTCCTGGGCTGGCCTTGCCTTGCTGGCCACTCCCTACTCTGGTAGGCATTCTCTTCCACTGGCTCCTAGATACGCACTCTAGTCCTCAGACATCACTGACCATTCAGTCCTACAAGCTTCTTCTTCTTCATCGCCCACAGCAGGACATGGCCTCATTCTCAATTCCAGGACCCCTTTCACATCTATATCCTTCTATCCTCCTTTCTGCCCTAGCCCCATCATGGCTTAAATTCCATCACCAGATGATTTCTAATGTTAACCTGCACACTGGGCTGTCTGACCTCTGTTGTGGCTTCTCCACTTGCCTGTCAACAAGGTTTCTCAAACCCAAGATTCCAAACCATCTCCTGGTCTCTCCCCACACCTCTCCCTTGCTGTCCTACCACACTCAGTGACTCAGTGCTCACAGGCTTCTGACAGTTGCTTAAGCCAGAGATCTTGGAATAATCCTCCATACTTTTTTTTGCTCTTGTCCCACAACCAATCTGGGGGAAAATCCTGGGAAACATAGCTGGAATCCACGGCTTCCCACCACCCTCACAAGCACCACTTTGGTGCAAGTCAACCTCATTGATACAGCCCGTCTCCCTGCTCTCAGTCTTGCCCCCTATGGACCACGCCCCACCTGGCCACCAGAGAGGTGTTCAGAGGTAGTCAGACCACACTGCTCCTCCTTTCAAACCCTCCAGTGGTTTCCCTTCTCACTCTGGTGAAAGCCCACAAGGCCTTACACTACCTCTCTGGTCTCGCCTCCTTCTGTTCACCCCTCCTGCTCGATCTGTTCAGCCACAGTGGCCTCCTTGCTGCTTTACAAACTCCCAACTCAGGGTCTTTGCATGGATTATTCCCTCTGTTACAATGCTCTTTCCCAAGATATCTGCATGGCACACTGCCTTAAATCCTAGCTGAAATGGACCCTTCCAGGAAAAGCTTTCCCTGCCCACCTTATTTGGAAAGCATCCCCCTGCACTCCACATTCCTGATCCCTTTTGCTGATTTGCTTCTTTCCATAGCTCACATCACCTCTGGACGAACTCTAATTTGCTCTGTTTACTGTCTGCCACTGGACATTATCACCACCAGGCAGGGATTACTGTTTCCTAGGGCCAATGGAATGAATGAGTGAACCAATGGAGAAAGCACAGACAGGGAGAAACAAGCAGCATGCCCCATCCTCTGAGCACAAAGTGGGCCACTGGGCAGAGGGGAGGGGCGACCTGGAAGCAAACTTCCCAGTTGGCTGAGGAGCCTTTGTGTGTAACCAAGAAGGCCAGGGGCACAGACTGTGCCATTGTGATACAGGGACTCACACCCATCCAGCACCATCGAGGAGAGAGGGGATCACAATGAACTAGAAAAACTAAGCTGTCCGCTAATGGATGTTCACAATGTAGTCCAGGGCAAAGCTGTTTGGTCTCTTGTCAAATGGGGATAATGATACCTCCCACTGCTGTAGTTGCGAAGAGCAAATAACATGGCATAAGTGCCCCTCTGGCACTGTGCCTGGCACAGAGCAGGGCTCAGTGAGCACAGCTGATCCGCTGACTCTGAGCAAACTCAGGCACTGGCTCAGCTGGGGACAGAAGCCAAGTCCTCTCCAGAGTCCAGGATCTGTTGTGTCTGGCTGGGTGAGGGTTGAACACCACAGCTTTCAGGGAGTTTCTAATAACTGCACAAGGTGTTTGTCTCTGGTTTACTGACTTGTTTTAAAAATAGCTCACCACCACATTTTACCCAACAAGGTTTGCCTCTCTGTGGAATCCAGCAGCTACCTAGGAGGCCTGAGTTCCTTTCTCAAAAATCAGCACAACAAGAGTGATGTAATATCCACCTTTACACACCCCTTGACCCCAACACACACACACACACACACACACACACACACACACACACACACACACACACACACCTACATTGTGTTTGGCCGCCATTTCTTTTCCTTGTTCCCTGGTGATTTTTCTCAGGTGCATCAAATCAACCTTGTTGGCCACAAGGATCATCGGGAATGACTCCCTGAGGGGGAAAAACAACAACTCTGTGAAGCCATCCACCCACTTGCCTGGTTAAAGTGGTGCAGCCAAACCTCATGCATAGCGTAACACAGAGAGAGGGAGAGCCCTGTGACATGGCCAAAGGGACCTGGGGAGCCCGGGGGCCGCTGGCTGCCTGCATCACCATCACTCCATCCTTTGCTGTGTTGACCACAAGGAACTCTGCAACCATCAGCAACAACTCACGAAGAGCAGGGGCAGGGTCTGGTACAGCACAAGCACCTGATCAATGGCAGCTGTCAAACGAGGACAGCTCCCAGGAAAGGAAGCACAGAGTCAAGGCATATCTGCCTAAAAATTCAGACTTATGTGGCCAAATTGCCGTCCAAGTTGAATGAGAAGTCATCTGACAATATCTGTGGCAGCACTGGATATTTTCATTAAAATGTTGTAGTATGACAGGTGAAGGAACTGTATTACTTTCCTTACATTTCTTTGATTAGCAACAAAATTAAATATTTTCCCACAACAGTTTTATTCTATGCTCTCTCATATATTTGTATCTTTTCATCTATTCAGGGATCCAGCTTCCATTACTCTATTGAAATTGTGTGTGTGTGTGTGTGTGTGTGTATCCCTTTGTATAGTAAGGTTATTAACCCTTTTCCCTTTGGAATAGATGTTAACTGGATTTTGTTTTTAGTCCTTGCTGGAATTTGTTGAAAGCTTGCTATTTTCCTATTAGTTTGCCCCTTTATTTTCTTTGCATTGCCTATTTGACAGGCAAGTGACATTAACAGTTGTGCTGAGTTGTGCTAATTAACACTGTGCTGTGTTAAAATTATTTAACTTTTCTACACAATGCTAAGGAAAAACAAGCCTTTAATTAAAGGCTTAGAAATCTCACAAATGCCACTTGACCAATTACACATTCTGGAGAGAAAATTCACTTTTTCTTTGCACATAATATAATGGAGTTGAAAAACAAAAGATGTCACCCACGATTCCTGACTGAGGGGACAGTTTATGGAGATGGGAGAGAGATGATCCCTTGGTGTCTTGGAAATAGTCTGGCATGGAAGGCACAGGAACAAACAAGGCTGGAGAATTCAGTTCTGGGCTCTGTACCCAGCTTCTACCTGGGGGCCCAGGGGCAGAGGTAGAACAGCGACCCCTATAGGCCAAGGGCAGGGAGGCCCACCCTGCCAGCCTCACCTGTCCTTGACGCGCAGGATGAGCTGGTGGAAGCGGTCCACGTGCTCGAAGCTGGCCTTGTCAGTGACGGAGTAGACAATGAGGAAGCCATCCCCTGTGCGCATGTACTGCTCCCGCATGGCGCTGAACTCCTCCTGCCCAGCTGTGTCCAGCACTGGGGAAGGACAAGGCTGCTCAAGGGCTGCCACATACCAGCTGGAGCCCCCGTGGCCTTCAGACCCCAGTCTGAGGCTGTCTCCACTGTGGCTGCACCCTGGGTATGCGATGGAGGCTCCCCTGCAGGGCTCAGCTCCTTCAGAGGCTCTTCATTGTGCAGCTCAGTGGGGGCTCACTTCAACCCGGTGCTCACTGGGCCTCAACTGCATCCACAGGCAAGCCTCATGAGATCAGGGTCAGCTTTCGCACTGTCCCCAGAGATGGGCCTGCATCCCCGCAGATGCCTTTACAACTGGGGATTCTGTGGGAAGGCATCTGACTCTGAGCTCCATTTTCTCCTCTGTTAAATGGAAAGAATGCTTCTACCTTGCAGCCCTGGGGGAGTGTGTGTTTATGAAGGAGGCTGCAGGAGCCCTGAAGAGGCCAGCCAGCCAGAAGGGTCTCCCAGCCCTGGTGTGGACAGATACTAAGTAAGCCTGAGGGAAGGGCCGGCCCTCCACAGCCAGTCTCTCACTACCTAGGAAAGGGGATCTGGGGCAGGAAGTAGGGGCAGAGACAGGAGGGAGGCAAAGGCCCTTCCCTCCAAACCACCCCCCTCCCAAGCCCGTTATGCTCTCTTCCTCCTGCTGGGATGAAGTGCTCACCCTGCCTGCTTCAGGGAGAGATCAGAGGACAGCAGCCACAGCTAGGGCCACCCTTCCATGGCGCAGGGCAGCAGCTTCAGCCCCACCAAGCAGAAATCTGACAGCCCAGCATCTTCCATGCCCCTGCTTACCATCTGGCCCCCAACCTTCCCGACACATTGCTCTCTGACTAGACCCAACTTCTCCCTCTCCCTGGAGGCAGCAGAGCTGGTGGACAGAGTCTGAAGCCAGACCACAGTGCCGAGTCCAGTTCATCCTTTCTGGGGTGTGATCCTAGGCAGGCCCCATTCTCTGACTCTGTATTTCCTCAAATGAGGACAGCCAGGGTAGTTTGAGTTAATGTTCATAATTCCCCAAGAACAGGGCTAGAAGCCCTAGGGCAGTGCCTGCTGGGAGAAAGCTGTCATCCTCACTCAGGGCCTTCTCTCCCACCCTCAGCCTGGGACTCCTTCCTTCAACCATTCCTCTGCCTCAGCTAATTCTGGCACAGTATTCTGCTGGCTGATCCCCAGGGCTCTCCTTACTATATACCAACCCTCTCAGATACTCTTCTTGCTGCCCATTTAACTGCTCCCAGAAGCCTCTGCCACTGGGCTGTTATCTTCCAGAGGCAGGGACCTGGTCTGTGTGACTCATCTATTGGGGGCCTGGCATAAAAAGTACCCAAAGTGTCTTTGAATGTGTAAATAAATGAGAAGTCTAAGTGATTTTGTTAATTCATCTAATATCTGAGTGCCCCCATGAGCCAGGTAGGTTCTAGGCCCTTGTGGAGATAAGGTGAACGAGGCAGAATCCTTGCTCTCGCAGGACTAACAATCCACCATCAAGACAGATAAACGGATGGCTGATTCAATTTTAGGCAGAGTAAGTACCTACTATGAAGAACATAGCCAGGTGGAGGTCACTGGCGGAAGTTTTTCATCATTGTGTATAGGGAAGGAGGGCACCTCTCAGGAGGTGACTGTGAGCGTGACTGAACGTGGAGAAGGGGGGAGCCATGCGAGTGACACGGGGAACGGAACTCTCGCCAGAGGGGCGACAGCACAACAGTCAGAGGTGCAGGTGAGCCAAGGTAAGCTCGATGGGCTGAGGAGGAAGAGAGAAGAGACGGGGCAGGCTGAGAGGGGCTGCTGTCCTGGGTGAGGTTTACTTCAGCATTGGCAAGACAGGGCAACTGGAGCATGGGCAGAGAATGGCATAACTGGAGGCATTTTGAAAAGTCCGTTCTGGTTGCTGGAAAGGAAACAGGCCATGGGTAGAAGCAGGGGGCCTAGTAAGGAAGTACATGTAGTAATCCAGGGAAGATAGAGTGGAGGGCTGCAGAACCACGAGCCAGGGGAGTCGGTGAGAAGTGACCAGATGCCTATATTCTAAAACAGAGCGGCCCTAAGGGTGCTGCTGGATTCGGGCCAGAAGAACCAACTTGAGGACAAACAGGGTTTGGCAGGCTTAGATTCTGACACAGCCTGAAGAGCTCAGCAGACCTCTCTGTGGGACTTCAATAGGCACTGTAAGGCTTCAGTCAGATTCTGAGAAGAGAGTGAGAGGCAGGGATGTCAAGCGTCCATGGGTGGATGGTAAACAAAGCCACGGGACCAGCTACCCATGCAGCCCAGGACTCCACATCTCCTCAGGCAGGTAGTGCAGACAGTACTTGAGAAAGTGACCTGTCCCCATAGCCATACTGGTGCCCACCCTTCCCCATTCTTCAGTACTTCAGAGGGGCAAGTAGTGGGGACCCACGATGTGCCCAGACGTGAGAGCAGCTCGTGGCTGTTCTGTCTCATTCCTTAGGCCTTGGCCTCATGTAGCAAATGAGAAGCATGAGGACCCTTGGGCCCTTAGAGCTCTGACATCCTAGAATTCTTTCACGTAGCTATAAAAAGACAGGATCCATAGCAAGGTGAGGCAGGACCCACAATGGGGTGACAGAGAAACAGAAAGATTTCAACTGGATTCCTCCAGTGGAGCCTCCCCACCAAATAAATCCCACTCAGAACTGAAATCAGTAAACCAGATGAAAGTGTATGAAACCGGCTGAAGTGTGGATGGGGAGGCCTGCATTCAACAGCAGCAGACATTAAGGTAATATCGTAAGTAATACATTTAAAGATGCTGAAGATACTTATTAACCAAAACAAAGCTAGAGATCTAAGATATTTTAAAAACATGATCATACAAAAAATTTTTTAAAAAAGCTCAATAGGAGGTTGAAAGTAAAAATGAACCCTCTGGATAGGAAAAAGGTCATTTTTGACATTGATGGTCTTAGAAATTATATGATTCATGTTTTCTAAAAGAACTGTTGGAGGATGTACTTCAGCCAAGTTAAAAATAAATCCATTAAAGAAGTGTTTTTATGAACAATAGTAAGCAAATCAGCAAAATGAGTTAAGTTTAAATAAATATTGCACAACTTAAAGAGAATAGGTGACAATTTAGACCTAACATCTATGAGGATCCACGTCTGAGGAAAGGGGTCAGGAAATAGTAAGTGACTATAGGTTGAGGAATCTGAAAAATCAAGATCTGAAATCCAAACTTTTTATATGCCAACATGATCCTCAAAAGGTTTTGGATATTAGAACATTCTGAATTTTGGAGTTTTGGATTATGGATGTTCAACTAGTAAAGTCAATACAGATGTTGTAAAGTCTGAAAAATTAAAATCTGGAACATTCCTGGTTCTAATATGATAACCCTGTCATGGTGTTAGAGAAGGGATACTCTGCCTGTACTAAAATTTAAGCTTCATTTGGGAAGAGGCTAAAGATCTTGATTACATCTGATACTGCCAGCTGTAAGTGTACACACACTTATGTATACAGCATAACGACTAGATGAACAAAAGCAAAACCTTAAACTTCCAATCAATACAAGAGTGCTCCTTCAGCAGCACATATACTAAAATTGGAACAATACAGAGAAGATTAGCATGGTCCCTAATCAATACAAGAGAGCAAGAAGAAAACAAAGTAAATGGGACCAATTCAACAAAAGGCAAAAAGAAACCTAACAAAACAAGTAAGCATTAAACACAGAAACATGAAATAAGATGGCAGAAACAAATCTATCACTAATCACAATAAATGCAAACAGGTTAAATTCACCTATTACTAGCAGAGCCTAAATGTAAAATCCATTTGTCAGCTACTTACAAAAGACACATGTAAATCAAAATGACAAAAGATGAGAAGTAAAGAATAAATAAATAACATGCAGGCCTTGGGCTAATCAAATGAAAGGTATCCACAAAGTAGAATTCAAGGCTAAATAATTAAGCAGGACAAAGGCAGCATATTTATAATGAGAAAAGATATAAGTATCAAGAAGTGCTGAAGTCAAGTGTACCTTGACTTAGTATAATTGCCTTAGACGTTTTACATGCTCTTTGCCTATCAGTCTGATTTTTGATCTATATATATGTTAATTAACTTTATAAGGTCTCATAAATAAATGAATTGGATGCTGGGAAAATAAAAGGGAAGGTAAAGGGATGGAGGAAAAAGTACTGAAATATATTATGTACAGGTACCAATTCTTTATAGTGAATGTAATCATTATGCACTGTAAACATGTACTAATAAAAGTCAGAAAAAAAGAAGTGCTGAAGTCATGTAACCAAGAATGTTACTTTTATGTATCTATAGACTTACACATATACGCACATAAATATGATTTTAAAAAACAACAGAAATTGACAGATTTCATAATGTGGGAAAACTGAACAGGCCTCTGTTAAAGACAGGACAAATGGCCTCTCTAAATTAATGACCTGTACTTAACAGAAACAAAAATATAAAAGAATTTATTCACTTAAAAGTTAAAAGGGAATACTGTTCTATAACTTTCCAGTTAAAGAGAAAAGCAAAGCAGAAATTACAAACAATTTAGAATTGAAGGGTAATGGACAGTATCAAGACCTCAAGTTTTGAGGCCAAAATGGTATTCAGAGGAAAATTATAGCTTTAAATGCACCTCAGAAAATGAAACTGAAAGTTAACTAAGCATTTAAATCAAGAAGCTAGATAAGGAAAAATAAAACTAAGAGAAAAGTCATCAATAAAAGTAGAAAGCACAAAACTGGGAGAAAGGAAAAGTAGTTGATAACTAAAAATCAAAAGCTGATTCTTGCCAGGCATGGTGGCGCATGCCTATAATCCCAGCACTCAGGAGGCTGAGGCAGGAGGATCACTGTGAGTTCGAGACCAGCCTGGGCTACATAGTGAGTTCCAGGTCAATCTAAACTACACAATGAGACCCTGTCTCAACCCCCCCCCAAAAAAAAACCCACAAAAAACAAAAAACCAACCAAACAAACAAAAAGCTGATTCTTGTCTCAAGCTGGGGATGA